CTGGCATCCCGGGTCCAAGGACCGATAACCCTCCCAGTCTCTTAGGCTGGGTGACCGTGGCCCAAGCAACTTTGACTAGGAAGACAGCATCGTTATCCTCTTCCTTCCAAAGATAATGGGCCAGGATGTGTTTCACGGTCTGCAATGCAGGCTGATCAAGTTGAAACAATGCTCTATGATACCAAATAGTGGACAGAACTGAATTGTTTATCACAGTCGCCCTGCCCATCAGGCTGACTCCCTTGTGTTCAGTCCAGGGAGCCAACGCTCTGTGGACCGACGTGAGGACTTTCGCCGAATCCATGATCAAGTTTTGAGTGAAAGGTATATTATGGCCCAACAATCTGTCATGCTGATTTGGATAACTAATCTCATGCCCCAATGCTGTGGGGGTTGCACATCCGGTGGGATAAGCACTGATGATTTAGTCCAGTTTACTGCTGCCTGGGAAATTGAACAAAACTGTTGTTACAGTACTGAATTCTGCAGCGCTGGGAATGCCTCGTCTGTCGGCGGAATAACTGCCACAGCGTCATCAGCGAAAGCTTCAGATTTGAATCTGAGGCCAGAGGGTAACAAGATGCCAGGTATATCCTCGTTCAGCCGAACAAGCGTGTGTAACACCTCAACATATAAGATGTATAGGTATGGTGCCAAGGGGCAACCTTGCCTAACAGAACGTGTCAGCGGAATTGGCGGAGACAGTGATCCATTGACACAAATAGAAGACGTACTGTCGTTGCACAATGACGCGACTCCCCTTTTGAACCGCGGCCCGAACCCGAACTGCATAAGAGTCGCCTGCAGGAACTCCCAGCCAACCCTATCGTATGCTTTCTCCAAATCAAGTAATATAATCGCATATTTTCCTTCCCCTGACAATACTAGTTCTACAATCTCTTCAACCACCATAACATTATGCAAGATTTGTCTGTCCCTCAAAAAGCCCGTTTGAGAGAAATGAATGAGATGAGGCAAAACCATCTGCAGTCTGAGAGCCATAATTTTAGCAAAGAGTTTATATACAGACGGCATCAAGGTAATTGGTCTGTAGTTACGGATATCCGCTGCATCCCCTTTTTTAAACAACAGAGAAATGACACCATTCAACATGTCGGGAGGGGGGGGTGCCCCATTCCATATGGCCTGAAACATCTTCAACAGCAATGGACCCAAAGTATCGGCATATTTCCTGAAGAAATATCCGGGCAATCCATCTACCTCCGGGACTCTATGTCGAGGCAGTGCTCGACATGCCCGCAAGACTTCGAAGAGAGTTATATACGCCTCCAAGGTATGAACTTGGTGGGGACTAAGAGATGTCTCAAGTTTGGTCCACACACTGTCTTGGAATTCCGTGAGCAATTGTGTCTCTGAGTGATGAGCCTGTGATGTCAACAGTGCTTCATAAAACAGAGAAACATTGGTCATTATTCCAGATGTGTTCTCTGCCAGTGGTGCGAGAGGGTCCGTGGGGTGAGCCATAGCTCTGATGTCCTATTGTTGTTGTTGTTGTTGTTGTTGTTGTTGTTGTTTTTTAAGCTTTGTTCTTCTCTCAATTTCACCTCACACTACCTACCTACCATTACTCCTAATTGTAGGCATACGGGGAACCCCGTAGCAGCCAGAACCGTGTTCACGAGAGAACATGCGGGGGCTGCTCCCGACCTGTAGGTGGGCGATACCGGCTACGGGACAGCCGGTAGTATCAGGGACCATGCCAACAGGACCAATCCCTGTGCCTCCCCTCAGGTCCCCTCCCCTATGAACATCAGCAGACTCTGCTCAATGCCGATCGGGGGATCCAGTGGTCTTATCTCTAGGTGGCGGGCGCCAAGCATGCCCAGGAAGGTATTGTTCTCCCCCATCTTGACCTCCTCTTTTTTTTTTTTTTTTTTTTTTTTTTTTTTTGACAAACAAGAGTTGCAGTTTTATTATATAAACAACAATGAGGCCGGGAATTCCTCAACATCTCAACCCGGATAACACTGGGGCCGTTACCCAGATTAGACCTGAGCTGGAAACCGGGTCCATTAGCGTCCCTTTGTCTGCGACTCTGCATCTTCCAAACAACTCGAAACTGGACTAAAAAACAGTCAACAAGAAAAGCTGAAAAAAATGGCCAGGGCGGGGCGTGTATAGTACTGTATAGCGGTGTATACCTTTTTTTTGCTTTTTCTTATTATGAAACCCACCAGTCTGGTTTTTTTTTCAGAAGTTCCCTTAATAAGTTAATACCTCTTCATTCTCATCTGGGCGTGTGTCCCCAACATCGATCGCTGTCAAGAGAAAGAATTCGTCTGTTGGAAAATCCGAATAAGTGACGTAGGGCCAAACTTCGGAATCCTTGCATTTCTCCCATAAAGCGGTAGCATGCTGGCATATTCTACTACGCAGCGAGTTTGCGTTTCTATTTCAAATGGTTTCTGGTACACATTTGGCCCAAGGCCGTTCGATGTTGCTGTTCTTTCTTCTTCTCTGCGCCTTCTGTCTAGTAGCCATTTCAGGTACCGGCACCACAAGATATAGATTATTAACCATTGCAAGCTTCTTATCCTTTGTGGTCTGACTGAAGCATAGTAAGGCCATGGGATTATTGACCGAAGCCAGGCTGGGTCTGTTCGTATGGAGGCTCTTCTCCCATCTTGCGGCGATTGTCCGTTGGGGGGGTTCTGCTTTGCATCTGGCTTTGTATCCCCTTTTCACCGTATACCCATGCAGCGCAATCCACCGCATGGCCCTGCCGTCCCTTGTTCCTCATACCAGCCTCATTTCCTAGAATCAACCTCCAGTCTCGTTATGTCTTTCTCCGGCCTGACCAACCAGATAATAGGACCTTTCACTTTTCGTTTTCCTCGCCTGTGCCTCCTTTGTTCATTCTTCAGTTTCCCTAACCTTTCGAAGATCCTGGGTGTTGAAAGGGCAAGAGAAAAAATTGACAGTTTGTGTACACAGTCTACAAAAAAAATACAAAAAACAAAAAAAAAAGGGGCAAGTACATCGGACTCACACCCGACGTTCAGAATAAGCAACTTTAGCAGTTCCCGAAATGGAATGAAGCAAAAAAGGCGACCCCCCTAAATCTGGCCAATCCCCCCTGCTGGTAATGAATGACTGGCGCAGTCTTAGACCCCTGCTAAACTTTGCACATTTCGAAACTCACACCATGACACCGGTGCCACTTTGTCTTTTTTCTTGCCCATTTCAATCTAAAAGTGTGTCACAGCCACAGTTCTCACCCTGTCTCTTATACACATCTAGATGTGTATAAGAGACAGCATATACTCTGACTTAGTGTGGTATCGGGGGCCGGTCAGCTCGACGATTAGTATAATGTCCCTCAAGGATGTCCCTCCCCCCCCCCCCCCCCCCCGCCGAAAAAAAAAAAAAAAAAAAAAAAAAAAAAAAAAAAAAAAAAAAGAAGGGATGGCAATCCTGTGGAATTTGGCTTGGGAAAGAATTGAAATTATGCTGTGCCCATCTTGGCATTAAAAAAGGACTGGATGCGGGGAAAATGGAATTAGTGGGGGACTGACAGGTTGCGCAAATGTAAAAGCTAGTGAGGCATCAGTCACTTGTGGGCTAATGAGAGACAGAATGTAAAAGCTAGTGCCGCTCAGATCTCTTGCCCTGCTGCCCATGGAGTGAGTTACAACTTACAAGTGATACTGCCTGGTACCATCATGAGACTTGGCCGTCTGTTCAACGAGCAACCGCATCGCGTCCACGTTTCGCGGATACTATTTAAACCACCACTACCTCCGAGCCTCTCTCTTTTTGCCGAGGTGGAGTAGAACTGAGCACCAAGCTCCAGCCGCAGCACCAGCGTGGCATTTTTCGTTTTCTTTTGGCTGGTGCCGCCAGCCTTAGCGCCCAGCCTCTGCCGGCCTCCAAAAGAATGCGGTATAGCTTATGTTCACGACGTAGCCTCCCAGCCTCAACAGTAGTGGTGGTCTAAAATAAAAAAATTAAAAAAAAATAAAAAAAAAACTCAGATTTCTAAGGAACCTGAGGCCCTGAGGAAGTCTGCACGGTTTCAGTTCTGGAATAGACTCCTTTATTTATATTGCCGGAAAACGGGTCCGGCGTCCCTCACATATTCTGCGGCCATCCAGGCTGGAAAAGGCACTTCCGGCCAATCCCATCCCGACCGCAGCCAAGGTTCAATCCAGAGTCGCTCAATCTAGTCTACTTATTGTATCACTCATTCCACACTACTCTAACCACAACTGAACTACCAAACTACTATTGAATCTGCGTAAACCACAATTGACAACAAAAGACAGGCCAACACGCAAAAACTGAACAAAAACTAAACGAAGAAGTTAGAAAACCTCATAAGGAGTGTGCCATCCTGAGCTGCATCAACTGTAGCCAGCCTCGAGAAGTTTCCCCACCTTCTTCCAAACCATTTGACAGCCTTGGCCGAGAAGTGCACGGTTTCAGTTCTGCTTCTGCACTGCTGAGGATCCGTCTATCATAATTTTTTTTAAATAAGAAAGATGCGAAATTGGAAGTATTGGACGATCTAATATTAATAAGAAATTAAATTTAGACATACCGGAAGAAGAAAGATTCTTAGCTCCGGGAGCAGCACCCACCTGCTCGTGACTGGGCCCAGTGTCCCATAATATAATAACCGTTCCAGCTCATCACAAACAGAACCCTGGTACCATGCTTATGCCATCTGCTAGACTGCTATCTTGATTTTATTTTTTTGTTTTCTTTTGTTTTTTTTAACCATCAGTTGGCCTTGCTAGGGATAGTGATACGAGCACCTACCCCTAGCAGGCTGCCTTTTGACTGCTATCTTGATAAACAGGCCATGAGTTCAAATCTGCTGGAATCAGGTGGATACAATAACGTAGGGACTACCTACCTTCAAAAAAGAAGGGGGGGGGGGGGGGGGGGGGGGGGGGGGGGGGGGGGGGGAAGGGTCGGAACAGAAAAAGTTCATAGAACAGACTTACACTGCAGAGAGGACCATACTATAGCCACCTTAAGCAATACAATATGGTGTATTATGGTCTAAGTCGCCAACATTGCAGACTTCTCTCCATGGAAATGCCAAATACCTAGGATGCATTAACCAATATAACATCAAGAAGAATTTTCAGTGCGAGGGAGCCCAAAAGTATAAACAGGCAGACCGTCAGGTTTGAAAATCTTGTTCGCTGACGCAATTCAGCTGATTCCACCTCACACAAGAGATTAGTTTTTCCATATGTTAGAGATTGTGATCGGAATTGGGGCCACCAACATGATGCCGATGCCTCTGCATTCTGTCTCGATTGCGACCAACCTTCAGGTCCCAACATCTGCCTTGTTGTTTGCGACCACTCCAGCGCCGCCACCCCCGACTCCACTGCCATTATCAATCTTAGAAGACAATCATTAACCTCTACTTGGCACTCGCGCGTAATGAAATGACCTCCTGGCAAGTCAACAAACTTTGCTACCTCCCCCAAGCGCTTTGCAATGTCCATTCCTCGCTCTATTGGGCATATTATATCCCCATTCCCGTGAATGACTGACACAAGAAACGCACCTGAACAGATTGCGTGCCACTCCTCTCCAGTAAGGAAGTGTGTCCAGCACGCATGCATGTGGCCATCCTGGCCATGCCTTTCCTGCATACCGGACGCCGTGATAGCCTGTACGTATTCTTTGTACAATACCGCCCGCCTCGTCTCCCCTGCTTCAGCCACAGCGTCCAGGTACAATGACGTATAATGGGTATCCAAGTCCACAGCCGCTCGGGCCTCTGGCGTCTTTGCCCTCAAAAGACGATAAGCAATCGCTAAAATTCTCAAGCTCCACTTTGGGATGCACGCATAGCCACCAGCAGAGGAGCTAATGATTGCCAGGGAAGCGATTCGGGTAGGTGCCATGGCTGCCAGCTTGCAGGCAATCATTCCACCCATGGAGTGCCCGAATACGTGTGCCTTCGCCCATCGAAGATGGTCCATCAGAGCGAGAGCATCCCTCGCCATGCTCGTGGTCGAGTAAGCCTCTCTCCGCCTAGGAATTGAGCTCTGCCCAACCCCTCGGTTGTCGTAAGCACAGCATTGCCGACCGCAGCTGCCAACCTGAGCACTTGTGGAACGCCTGCCCTCGTTCTCTCCTTCTTCGGCATTGCTGCTTACCATGTTATCCTTTTCCTGTTCTTCATCATTCGCCACATCTGTCCCACACAGCGCCTCGAGCTGTGGAGCCCAAGCATGGTGTGTTCCTGCTAGCCCCATGATTAACAGGACCTTTGTGTCGCCGTGGCCATAGAGCCGATAGAACAACTTGAACTCTGTCGGGACAGGGGACCTGGCCACAGTATCTGAAGTAACCTCTCCCTGTTCTTCTGGCACATGCTTTTTGGCAATGCCAGTCTTTTCGTTGTTCCGGCCGGCTTCCTTCGCAATCCCAATGGCATCATCCGTGAACGCTGGAACATAGCAAAATGGCATCTTGCCAAGCCAGTCTCACGCTTTGTCTGCTTTTTTTTTTAACCAGAGTTCGAACTCTGGAACCAAAAGACGGATCAATGACCATACGGCGTACGCCTCGCCTCCAGGTAATAACAACAATTGCCTGGTTGCAAGCAACCAATCGCTCGAGCATGTAGCACTCGGTTGGCAAGCTGGTTACCTGGCAAACTGTGTGTGGCCTAGGTTAAATTATCCCACTCTGTGTGCCCCACCACCACTCTAGTCATCCTTCCATAATAATTGTGGTAGGGACTTAGAACCCCTTACCCCTTACTCAGGGAGGGAAATGAGAACCGCCGAAGTCGGTCCATCAATTCAATGACATATGTCTGCTCCCCGCGTGATTCCGCTGCAAGGAATACAAAAAGGTATGGCAAAAATGGAGAAGATGGGGGTTGACACGTCAGCACGCACAGCTATGGAAAGAACAGGCACATGAAGGGCTAGGATTCACGGATACGCCAAAGCAAGAGTAGTGAAAAGGACCTGCAGTGGTGATCACTGATCATTGTGCCATAAAAGTACACTTCATAGCCACCACACCTGATGCCGCCAACTTCAGCCTTCGAACAGAGGAGGGGGATGCTCTGATCAGGCAGCCAGTGATTGGGTGAAGAGGCAACTCCTGCGGCAGCATCAGTTATACATGATCAGTACGATTACACAACAACCGGAAGCCGGGTAATGGCCCTGGTGACCACGCATAAGAGTGCACAGCGTACATGGGACGCTGGACCCGTTTTCCAGCAGGTACGGCTCCCCACCGATACATTGGAGCACCAGGCATCAGGGTGCCAGTGGGTGGTGCTCATGACACCTTCGCCCCAAGACAACGCAACCTCTCCACGCGGAGGGAAAAAGGAAAAGGGGGTGGGGAAAGAAAGAAAGGAAGAGAAAAAATCAAGAGTAAACAGCTTTTGCGCCAAGGTGACTGGCTTTGATCACCTGTAGAGGAACGCGGTGCCAAGTTCCTCATCGGCCACACTCAGATTGCGACATTTTTTTGATTTCGCACGCAGCGCTGCAATGAGTAAATTACTTCTGGTGTTTAGGGTTTAGGGCGTATCAAGAATGAAGGGTAGACACGCGGGTGACAGTACACGAGGGTGGTGCAAACTGACAAGTGCTGCAGGTCCACAGTTCAAACCTCAGCCAGGAAGTAAGCAATAGAAACGACTCTCAAGGGCAAGCGCAAAGCCGTCATGGGCTTCAACAGGCTGCAGGACCCTCTCCATCAGGTGTAAGCCCCCTCTTGTGACCCTCTCGATCAGATGTAAGCTCCCTCTTGTCAGGCAGATTCGCCTCCTACACTGTCAAAGCAAAATACTGAAATGCGAGGGGAAAAAGACGACAAAAATGGAACACGCAAACAACTAATACCAAATTACTCATGCAAAAGTCAATAAGAGACATTCAAATTTTGAAAAAAAGAGACAGCATTGTCTCAGAACTTGTAGGAATCTCAGATGGCAGAACAGATCATGAACCAGACCTGATCACATCAGATCCGGTGTGACCAGGTCAGATCAGATCACATCAGATCTTCATTTTTTTTTATTTTTTATTTTTTTTGACCAGTATCACCTCTCTTCGCAGATTATGGTGGCAAATTCGCAAATGCTGTTTGAAGAATTGTGTCCGTTCCAACTTCAGAGCATGATCTCTTCTACAGGATGGATAAGTTGTTTTCATCTTTTTAAACAGGTCCATTATGGGCCTTGTTACACCTCCATTCTCGGAAACGTCAGTCCATTTTTTTTTTTTTTTTTTTTTTTTTTTTTTTTTGTAAAACAGAACCTCACGGTTCTGGCTCCTACCATTCTGGGGAGCAACAGTCCGGTTCCTATTCCCCCGGCAAGTCAGAATGGAGTACATAAGGGACTCACTCACGCTCCTCCCCATTATGGCTGGGAGGCCCGAGCGGGCAGCATTGATTACTTCCCTGAGGAAGGATGTACCACCCCTCACCCCTGCCAAAGTTATCCTATACTAACTCCGCCTGATATTGTGTTTAATCCCAGGTATGTTCCTCTCAGCTATTAAGCTGTCGGATAGATGTGTAATGCAGGAGCCTACTGGGACACTTATTTCTGTTAAAACCCTGAACCCTAAACCCTCGGGCATAATCCAGTCGCGATTTTGCCGTAACCAAGCCCAATGGTAAAGCTTGAGCAGTATTGATTCTCTCATCCTATTTCTGTGTTTTTCTGCCTACCTCTGTGGTGCGCCTCCATCATGACCCTCTCGTGCTGTCCCTCCTTTTACAAGCCCCTTCTCACACTCTCYAGAYTACAGGAATGMTGTCGTCTTAAAGTCTATGAGATCTTGAACGCTTTCTACCCTCTGTGATGCACCTCCATCATGACCCTGCCGAGCAGTCCCTCCTTTTATAAGCCCCTTCTCGCACCCTTTAACTTACAGGAATGTTGTCGTCTTGTAGTCCGTGAGATTTAGAACGCTKTCTGCCCTATATTGCTTGATCTCTTCACGACCCTTTAAAASGCCTTCACTTATCCTTCCCTGACATACCTATCCTCCTTAGACCCTGAACCATTTGACTTATCCTTCGTTACTCTGCCTCCCTTTTTTCTATTTTTCTCCCTTTTTCCTTTTCTCTTSGTCCTTACCCTTTTTGGAATTGGGCTGCTCTTGTGCCCTAAATCTTTCTTCAGTCGGGTTTGTTTGAAGTCTACGCTCCAGCCGGACCCTGTGTGTGGACTGTAWGTCGGGTGAGGTGTTGCGGGGGGGGTAGGAGAGGGTGTGTGGGGGGAGTGGTGGAAAGGGTGGAGTCGTAGATGGGAGGGTTGTAAGTTATGGGGTTGATTTGGAGATTGCGTGCGGTGGGGTGTATGGGATGAAGGGTGGTTCGTATTATTGGTATGTGTAACTGACTTATTTGGGGGGCGGTTGTCTTCAGTTGGTGTGTTGCGTTTTCTTTAGCCTTTGTTTTTCCCTTTTGTGTTCAAATTCTCTGATCTGCTTCATCGTCCGGCACTACATTGGGTTCGGCCGCCCCAGAAGCCGCATTGATTAATTGGGGGCCAATCTGGGTCTGTTTGTCTTGTGGTGGTGTGACTAGCCAGTCGTTGAGGACTAGCCTGTCTCCCACGATTGTGCCGAGCTTTCCATTGCCTAGCCTAARGGACTTGAATTTTTTKATGGTTTCAATTTTTTTATCTGGTGAGATTCCTGTAATTGAATTTTTGTTTTGTTCCAGATGGCCTGAATCTCCGTTTCTATTAYTTGTTTGATGGTGATAAGGGGGTTTTCTGAGTTGGTTCCAGTGTCATTGAAGTTTGCTGCACATCTTCTTTTCCAAATAGTCCAGAGCGTGCCTTTCCTTATTAGAGTAAAGAGGAAGAGTTCGAAGCCTGTGAGCGTGGGGGTTTGATCCATGTTTAGGAACAGAGTAGCTGGGTTAAYTGTGATTTTACTTTTGGAATGTTTGTTCCAAGTTAGTAATATGTCTTCCCAGATCTGTTTGGTCTTTACGCRATCTATGAAGCAATGGTTGAGGGATTCTTCGGCTTGTAAATTGCATRCTTTGCACCATGCTGAGTTTTCAGTTCTCTCTTCTTTTTTTCTTCTTTGTGATAGCCATAGGTTGACGGGGACTGCTCTGAAGGTTAGTAGCCATAGTAGGCTGGCTAGTTTGGTTGGTCTTGTGCCGAAAATCGAGTGCCAGTTTGGTTTGAYGGTAAGGTTTGAGAGGGTAGTCTCTTCTTTGGCCCATCTTTTTTGGAGTATGTTTGATACTGAAGTTGGTTTTGATAGAAGCCTGTAGCCCAGATTAGGRGTGTAGTCAGTTAGCCTATGGTGGCGTTCGATTTGAGATAGGGGGGTTGGTGTGCTCCAGGACCATTCAGCTGGGTCTATTTCTAAGTGTCGTATTTCAGTACCAGGCTTGAAAACTCTRTTTGTATCCCCTTCGATTACCCTGATTCTTTGAAGGTTCTTAGCTTTAAAAGCTCCTTCTGCCCTGCTTTCCTTGTTTAGGGCACTCAATGGGTTGCCTGGTTCCTCCAGCTCGAAAATGGAACACCGGACCCATTCTTTGTTGTGTTGTTCGTATCTAATTATCTTGAGAATCTCCTGGATAACTGACTGTCCCTTCTGAACTGCCCAGTCTTCCCAAAGCCATTTCTGTGAGGAGTTTAGAAGGATTCTCCAATCCATAGGGATGCTGTCGATGATAGTAGAAATGTTGGTTTCTAAGTTGTGGCTTCCTTTCAGGGTTTTCCTTAGTTCCTTCTCTGTTTTCCAGGTCTTTGTGTCTTCGTTCCACAGGTGTTGGATTTGCCAAACCCCTTTTTCTAGCCAATTACCCCATTTGGTGCTAGTTCTGTTGAGTTGGTAACTCCGCCCATTGTGATCTAGTATCCATGGGTTGCCGAAAAGTGGCTGTCTCAGGACCTCATCCTTTTTTTTGGGGCCCACTTTGTTCTTTGGAAAAATCTTTCTCCATTGGTGGAATGAGTTGTTCCCAAAAAGATTTTTTGTTATCTTGGTTCTCTTCCTCTTCTGTGTCTTGATGGTGGTTTCTGTTGCTGTTTTCTTTGGGCAGGGGCCAGTCTGGGTTGTAAATCCAGAAGAGACCTGTCATGCTCGGCGGGGAGTGGAAAGGTGCCAATTCCCTAATGCTGTTGAGGGCTAGAGGTATCCATTGAAGGTTGTCTTGTAGTGTTAGTCTGATGATCCATTTTCTTTGGAGTGCTTGGATTTGACGTGCTGGGTCTATGATTCCTAGTCCGCCTTTCCCTTTGGGCTGTGTGACTATTTGCCATGCTACTTTATGGATGAAGTGTTGCTTGTCAAGGTCACCTGTCCAAAGGAAAGTTGCGCTCTCCGACGGATGTGATGTTGAAAATCTACTGAGGGGAACCAGATCGATGTGGCGTACCACATCAATGCCAGGATTGAGTTGTTTAATGCCAAGGCACGTCCGAGCAAGGAGGTGTATGTTCCTTGCCATTTGTGCATTCTGTTGGATATTGAAGATAATAAGGACTAGGCGGCTATTGAGTGAC